CTGGAGGTCCAGACTGTACAGTTGCTGGCCTTTGCCTGCATGAGAAATAAACCTTTGCTGGATTAAGGGGATTTGTGGATTTATCTGTTAAAGCTGCTTACGCAAACTTCCCTGACTAACATAGAGATTAATTTCAGGGTTAATTTCTCACTCCAGCTTCCCCCCATTCATTGCAAAGCTCAGGTGGCATTTTAATCATTATAGTTATTGAATTGTACTACTATTACATTTTTTTATTATTATTCTTAGCCTGTTTGGCTTTTGAGGAACAACTCAGTGTTTGTTCCATATTAAAACCTGACTCACAGAATGAGTCAAGTCTCACACTCAGTGTCACCACTGCTGTTAAAGCTAAGAGAAGCTGACAGCTGCCCCTTGGGGTCTTGATTTACAAATCACATGATGGATTAAATCAATATGCTTCCAAAGTAGGAGGATGAAAACTTCAAAAAACAAATCCAGAAAGTGGAAATACAAAGGCAGTTCTTGCCCGCCGGCCCCAGGACAGACACCCAGAGAAGCGCGGAGCAAGGGCAGGAGTGACGCTGCCCTCTCACCCGGCCCCTTCCTGCTCTCCCTCAGCCTTCCTTCCACCGAACCTTCCACATCTCATAAAGCTGCTCAAAAAGTGCAACAGAGGAATATCAACTGCTGCGAAATTACAAACAGAATTTCATGAATATTACCCTCCTTTCATCTGATGAACCTGGGGAAGTTTTTACAAATAATTTATTAAATTCAGTTAACTCTCAAGTATCAAATCTGGGATGCCTGAATCCATAATTGAATCTTTCAAGGAGGAGACATCTTATTACATGCACAAATACAGAGGCTCAAATCTTGATGGCAATAGAGAACTTTCTTGAAAGGAAGTGTCTGGGTCAACACCCGGTGTTTCCATTTCCGAGGTTATGCTAGTCTTGGTTTCATCATTTCCTCATAAATATTCTGCCGCAGCCCCTGTCCAGCTGTGGCCCATCTCATCACCACGGTCCCTTTAAGCCACCCAAAGCAGGGGGAGCAGCCCATGAGGAAGGATCTATGGGAAAGTTTGACTCCCAGTTAAAAATCTGAAGCAAGTCATTTCATTAAAGGGAATTTTTTTTACTCAGGCTGGTTTCTAAAAACCTGAATCAAGCACAAAGTTAAGTTTATTGGTTCAAGTAATCGTCCAAGGTGACCTGTGGCACCACAAGTTGGTGCAGGACCTAAACGGGGTTATGAGGAGCCAGCCTCTGTCCTTCCCTCATCTCAGCCCCTTCATGCTGCCTGCATGTGGTGCCCCCGCCCTACAGCTCTGCAGCTTCCCCTCGTGTTTGCAAAGTGGCTGGCAACTGTCCCTGCACTTAACACCCACTCAGGTTCCAACGCTACCCAAAGACTTGAGTAGAACTCCTGGGCCTGACCCTCATTGGCTTCGACTGGGTGACATGCTCATCTCTGAGCCAGTTATGGTGGCCGAGGGGCTGGGCTACGCTGACCAGCTTAGGTCATTCATGATCCACTGCCCACGTGAGCAGGGGATGAAGAGACGGGGAACTGCCCAAAGGAATTCCCAAATGTGTTTTCCCAGAAGAAGGGGGAAGACAGACAGACAGACAAATACCTACAATACCAACAGACCAAAGTTCCTCTGCCACAGGGGGTTCTGGGTCCCAGTGACGTCCCTGAAATGCTGAGACTCTAGGGACTCAGGCGGGAAAACCACCCATCAAAGTAAACCCTCAATTTCACAAACAGATGCTGACGGCCGGACTGGGGGAGTCCCCAGGAAGGAGGGGGCAGAGCCCCACACAGCCGTGAGCTGGACCCCTCTTCAGGCCACATGTCCCATGGAGGTCCTGAGCCCAACTCTGGGCTCTGCGGGCGCTGAATATTCCACACAGACTTCCTGCTAAACGTAGTGTTCAGCACTACGAGTTCATTTTGCTGGGGTGAAGGCATTGGACATATTTGTCCTGCCTACTCCAGGTTCATTCTGGTCAGGGGCAAGCAATGCCTGTCTAATTACCTTTATTCTGTTTTCAGTCCCTGTGAGCAGTGGCTTAAGAGTGCTTTGATGACTGGACAGTGTCAACCCAGGGTAAGTGGTGGGACAGTGGGAGCCCTGGCCCAGGGTTAGTCCCCTCCTCACACAGTTTATTCCACTGCTTTATAGTATGTCTCTCAGCCTATCTGAGAGAGGAGGTTCTTTTAAAACAGAGGTCACTCGCTTCTTGCCAGCTGAATGATGTGAACGCCTAGGTCTACGGTAGGGTTTGTAACCTCGGCGCTACCGGCCCCCTGGGCTGGGTCGTTCCCTGTTGTGGGACCAGCCTGTGCGCCGTGGATGACGGCAGCATCCCTGGCCTCCCGCCACTCTGTGCCCGGAGCACCCCCCGCCCCGGCTGCAACAACCAGAATGTCCCCAGACATCACCCAGTGTCCCTGGGGGCAGAATCGCCCTGGTTGGAACCACTGGCCTATGGAATGAGCCTTTAAACTACAGCCTCCTAGAGTTCTCAGTGGCTGCTGATCTCAGCTTCATTAAAGTGGGCTTCTCCCCTGCAGGGACTGGAAAATATATAGTGAATTTGCCCTGTCGGAGGCAGTTTGTTTGGACTGTGTGAACAAGAGTAACAACAAAATCATTCTCCCTTTTTCTCCCTCCAGTAGTAAATGATGTAAATGACTCATTAGAATGGAGACCGCAGTTCCTGGAGACCAGGGAACAGTGGACCTCAGGGACATCGTTCCTAAAACCTGGGAACTGCTCGCCGACCTTCCCTGGTGAAGGCCTCCTTCATGAATTCAGATATGTATGGATTTTCCCAACTGCCTGACTTAGCATCCTGGAGAGATGACTCTTGGCTAGAACAAACATCCTGGTAACACCACCTTCCCGGGTATGTGAACTCACTCAGCCACAAATCCCAGGGGCCTGGTTTTGAATGTCGCAAGGCAACAGCTAAAGAATAAAATCGATTGTTTTTAAATAGACATACTGGGCATGCAGGATGCCAACTGAGCACAGCCAGCTCACCTGGCCCGGCTGCCCAGTGATGCCCACGGGCTTGAACGTTTTACGGTTCTAGGTCCCATCTCCCCACCCTGTCTCCCCACCCTCACCCCTACTCCCACAGTGTTCCTGTTCAGGCTGATCCCTCACCTGCTTACCCAGCAGCTTCCAAAAATCAAATCCAAGCTTGAAAGGATACTATGTGGCCAGAGAAAAGGCTGTTTAAATGGATCTGCCATTGGGTAGTGACAGCCATTTTGGAAAAGGACTTGAAAAAACTATATTAAGCCATCATGCAGTCTGGGGAAAGGCACGCACAAATGTTTGTTTGAACATAATGGGAAAAAAATCTGATCAAGGAATAAAATTAACTAAACGAGGTAATTACTCTGGCGCATAACAGACATTTTTGTTCTGTTCATGTTTTTTCTATTTATTGGGGATTTTTTGGTTGTATAACTTGAGTTAATTAGTACTAAGTTTGGCTGAGAATGACAGAGCACAAACCCCCAATAAATAGAGACAAGCGTATGTTTCTGTCTTGTAAAAGTGTAGCGACCCAGGCTCTCACGGCCTCCGGGGCGCAGGATGAGGCTCCTTCTGGCACACTGTCCGCGTGGGAAGCCTCCATTCCCAAGTGTCCCCACTAGCCCCCCTCTGCAGCCACGACCCAGCCTGCAGGGAGAGGGAGGGGCTGGAAAGAGGCGCCCCTGCTCCCCTTAAGGAGCACACGCTTCCGCTCCGCAGCGTGGGTCCCGCTGGCGGACGGGCTCCCCTGGTCACAGCCAGTTCCGGGTGGGCCGGGAAGTGTCATTTTTGCCTGGGGAGGACCTGGTCTTTCCTTGTCGGCCTCCACGCTCGGCTGAAGCCTCCTGTCTCTCAGCACAACGGCGCCCGCCCGCCTTGAGCTGCCTGAAGCCACTGGCCCTGGCGGGAAGGTCACACCCTGCAAAGGACTTTGGCCACAAGGCTCACAGATTGGCAGGACGAGGCACTGGTTCTATTTTCCACTAAGCGCCCTGCTTTTCACAAAATCTTTCCAGTGACTGATGTCATCTGAGAGACGCAGCAGCTGCTTCTCTCAGCCCTGCAAGGCTCCACATCGCCCAGCTCCCGGTCAGCGTAGATGGCAGGCTGCGGGCAGACGCCTTTCCTCCGTTCCGCCCCGGTCCTGGCCAGCAGGAGCCCGTCCCTCTCTCCTGTGGGACTTTGCTAAAGGCAGCGACAAGTAGCTCATGCATCTCTACATTACAGGTTTCTCCTCCCACTTCCTCCCTCAATCCTTGTTCAGAACAAGGGCTGCGTCTCAAAACACTACAGCAGACAGCTGTTATCAGATGCTTTGTTTCTGCATGATGCGGGTCGCCTGTCCTCTAGCCCACACCATCCCTGCCCCATGACTGCATCATAGATAAGCCAATGCCCCAAGTTCCATTTCTGCTACCTGCAGCCCGCTCCTCTGGGTCCTTATTTTGTATCAGTTAAGAGTAGTTTTGGCCATGAATGACAGAAAATCCAAAATTGCAGTGGCTTGAACAGACGTATTTAATTCAGTTTGAGCCAAGAGTAAGGTGGTCCAGGACTGGGTCCAGGCAGGTTCCCTGGTGCCAGAAACCTCCACCCCTTCTATCCTGCTGGTGCACCACGTGTCAGCTCCAATGGCAGCATCCAGGATGGCTGCCCCCGTGCCGGCCATCATATCCTCATTCCAGCCAGTAGAAAGAGAAGAGAGGGAAGGCGTATGTCTATAGTTCTCCACCCTTCCAGGACATATCCAGGAAGTTGCCTTCCACTGGCCAGAACTTAGTTGCATGGCCATACCTGGCTGCAAGGGAGGATGGGAAATGTCACTGCCATACTGGATGGCCCCAAATTCAGGGTTCTTTTTATTAAGGAAGGACACGTGACAGATATTGAGGCAATTAGCCATCACTGCAGCCCTGTACTCATGTCACATTCCAGGACAAGGGTCCTTGTGCTGGGAGAAGTGAGAGGACCGGTCTCCCCTGAGTTTACAGCTCCAGTGTATCTCTCTCCTCCTCCTCCTTCCTGATGGAAGGTTTGTTTGGCCTCTGACACACACACTTCAGAGGAGACAAAGGTGACTCAAGGTTTGTAATCTTTGCCCAGGTGTCATCTTTGAGGGGAATGTTGCTATGCCTACTCCACAGGGACATAAAATGAGGTTTCCTGGCTTAGTGTTTCACTTGGGAAACTTCTAGCAACCAAGATGGCATCTGTGTTCAGTAAATCATAACAGTAAGCATAACAAACTCCTCTGATGAAAAACTCCGTAAAGCCAATGAGGCTGTGAATGCAAATGGAAAAACCAAAACTGATGAAATGCAAAATAAATATTTAACTTACGAGACTGCAGCTATCTTCGCATTGCTAAGTAATTTGGAGGCTAATGTTCTTAATAAAATCACATTTTCTAGGGAAAGTATTTACTATTTCTGTTTTATTGCCTTCTTCGTTGCCATTAATAAGGCTTGGTTTAGTTCCCGCGTATACATAAATTCCCCTGGAGACTAACATTTTTTCCCCAGACCTCCCGGTGCTGATGTTTCTAATGGAAACCTTTTTAAGCATGTAGACAGACTTGAGAATGAACCCGTAGGGAGAACCAGCCGACATCCATGCATGTCCCCTGCAGACATCAGTTGGGGCAGGTGACAATACATAGAGTGGCGTCTAAAGGGAAAGGCCAAAGTGTCATATGCCAGGCATGTGTCACCAACGTGCCAACAGGGCGAGTGTCTGCATTGGCCACTACACCCCCCAGGCCCGAGACCTCTGAAGACATACACAGAGACTTCAAAATACACAAAGGAAACAGCAAAATCAAAATTAATAGATGTTGAATTAAATATCTACAACATATAACATTTTATTCTTGCTAATTGTTCGATTTGGCATTCATGAATCTTTCATGAGTACTTTATTACTTTTGAAAACAGTTAGTTGGAGAGAGCCTCCTAATGCAAGAATTCACAAAAACAGCTGCCCAGATTTCATGACCAGCAGTAGATGAACTGGGTTACCCGTAGCCGAAACAAACCTCTCTAAGACCTTTCAAAACTGGATGGCAATGTATTTGTTCTTAACACAGGGGGTGGACACCCACCATGGGATAACCCATCCTGGTACATTTGATGCACTGTGGAGTTTCCAAAAATAATGCCTTAAACCAAGGGGTCGACATACTTTTTTTTATCTCTAAAAGGCCTGGAAGTAAATGTGTTGAGCTTTGTGAGCCATACGTCTCCATCGCGACTGCGCAGCTCTGCTATGACAGCACAAAGCGGTCGTGGACGGCCCTTAAGCACTATATGACCACGGCTGTGTGCCAATAAAACTTTATTTACAAAAAAAGAAGGTAGACCAGATCTGCTCCACAGCCATAGTTTTTTGTCCCTTGCCTCAGATCCAAGAAGGTCTAATGAACACCTACTGATCCTTGCCAACCATTCAGACTCAAAAAGGATACTTTTCTGAAAAATTACTTTTGGCCTGAGTTACCCAGAAAACGTGCTAGGCTCTCCTTGGAGCCATTCCAGCGTCAGCACAGCTGCTCTGCACGTCAGGGAGCCAGCTTCAGACCTTCCGGGGCTTCGGGGCTGGTTTTCCCTTTCCGTTACACAAAGCACTAGGTGATGAGTGAAGTGACTGTGTACAAAACACTCTTGAGATCTCTGTAAAGTGAATATTTGCACAGCTTCTTTAGAAAGAAAGGGGAAGTTTTTACCCTGAGTCGGCTAAAACTTAGGTTTACTATAACATTTCACTGATTCAACACAAACGTGTTTCTCCTGACTTATCCCTAGGCTTCAAGAGGACACTGTCAAAAGACTATGCTCATTAATTATACAAATTTGTTAGCATTTACCATAGACTTTCAGATATCCAGTGTGTACATAAAATGTCCTGCTAGCATTTCAAGGTTTGCTTACCATTCTCTTACCTATTACTCAGACAAGCAAACCAAGTGTATATAGGGCACACGTCCTGGTAGTTACACATATTTTTTAGAGTTTTAAAGGGAACATCCTCTCCCCAACAACTTACACTTGCAGTAAGTGGACAAGTAAAAATCAATTAAAGTTTATGGTTTTGTGTAAAGATAAAAAAATCAGAATTTATTCATTCAAAGGCTCCTAAATTATTTTACTTGCATAATACATGCAAGTTAATTTATGTCAATTTGTTTTTTAAGTATGTACTGCTGATAAAGTTTTAAGCACAATCATTTCTCATGATAACATATTTTATCTAGTTATCTACTCAGAAAGTGCAAAGGGAGTAGATAGTGTTTAATTACTAACAATACCGTTCACAGATGTTCTAGCAAACATTGCCCCATTTACTTTTCACTTAAATGGAAGCAAGATCATAATAATAGAAATGAAAATGATCACTTAACCAAATCTGTTTTCCCCAGTATTACCTGTTGTTCCCAGATCGCTGGGGTAATGTGTGAGTTCATTTACCCTCAGAGTTGGGCCACTGGTGGAAGCAAGGAATTACACAATTCAAGCTTCTCTAGAAAACCTGATAAATCAAATTTTTAAAAAGCATAACCTGCTGTTTTGCTTTGGTTCAAGATGTGTGGTCTGAGAATGTCAAAGCAGTTAATCCAGACTCAGTTTCAACCTCATTCTAAGACTAGAAGGTAATTTAAAAACAAAAAAGGGAAAGAAAGGAAAAAGTGTTCTAGAATGGTGATTTCCCCTTAACAAATTATTCCAATTCATCAAAATATGCTTTTTTTATGGAAAGAATGGCCGTCTCAGAATATATTTCTTCCAGTGGCGCAGCCTTTGGCCCCAGAGAGTCCAGCAAGTCAAGCGGCAGATCGTGTTCTGAGAAGTCAAGGGAGCTGAGGCTCTCGGCTGGCTCGCACTCGCCCTCCTCCGTGTAGACGCGAGGCCGGCAGCCAGGGTCGTCCTCCCAGACGTCCGCGCCGCGGAGCTGCCGGAGGGAGGCCGGGCAGAGAAGGTAAGTGCCAGGCTCCCCCCACGCCCGTCCTACCCGCCCCCGCCAACGCCCATCCTCTCCAGGCTCTGTGTGCGGGGCACACGCCTCGGTGCAGTGCAGGCAGACCCCGGCCCCGGCTGTCCAGAAGTGTCCTCAGACTCAGAAACGGCAGCCAGGTGAGGGGAACGACACCTTCACACTTGGCAGCTGGTTTCGGTGAGGGAACTGCGACAGGGATGGAGGCACCGGCCTGGGTGGCACGACAGGACCCCTGGGGAAGACTGCCGCCCACCCGTTCAGGGACTCGTTACTCTGGGCTGAACCCTCGCCACCTGGGTGCTGGCCCCGCCCCTCCTGGCCCTCGCCCCGCCCCTCCTGGCCCTCGCCCCCGCCCCTCCTGGCCCTCGCCCCGCCCCTCCTCGGCCCTTCGCCCTCGCCCCTCCTCGGCCCTTGCCACCTGCCTCGTCCCCCTTACTTAACTCGACCCACCTCCCCGACCCCGGACCCCA